TTCCACTAGTCTAGTATTTTTAATTATTGTGTGTCATATAGATAAATCTTGGGCAAAGATCAGTTGTTCTCAGATAAACCTTACCTAGACATATATTTCTTGATCTGCTATGTATAATTTGTCAGTAGGTTGTAGGCGTATTATGGTTCCCTCTGGTTTTCAAAACTAGCTAGGCATTGTTTATCTCTCACATTGTTTCACCCCTCCATCATGGTTTTCCCACTTAAGGTGCCCCCATTTCCCCCCTTTCTCCCTTATTAATATCCTTCTCAAATGTATTCTTGAAAGGAAGGAAATAGAAAAACTGTGCTCTAGCATCAAGCGTCTTAATCTGAGTGAATACCTTCCTCATGAAACAGAAGCATACACATTTTTAAAAATCTTTTTGAGGCAGGGTCTCCTTTAGCCCCAGCTGTCCTGGAACTCACTATGTAGACCAGGCTGGCCTTGAACTCACAGAGGTCCACCAGCCTCTGTCTCTCGAGTGCTGGGATTAAAGGCATGTTCCACCATGCCCGGCTAGCATACACATTTTTAAATACTCAAACATTCTGTTATCAGCTTCAAACTTTAAGGATTTTTTATTTCTTTTTTTTTTTTTAATCCCAGCATATGGCTACACACCAACTACCCATTGTTTATTTCAGTAGTGCGTCTTTCATGCCTTCTCACTGCCCCTCTGTTCATGCTACTAATCTCCATTAGTTCCTTGCTTGGACATTTTCAAGGAATTCCTGTATTTCATGGATTTGGTGCCAAAGCCAGTGTGTATTGCATAGTTTAAAATGGGCATTTGAAAATGACTCTACAGATTCCTAATTAATGTTAATATCTACCTGTTCCTTCTCCCAGGCAAGCTCCATGGGGCCTTCACAATCAGGAATGTTTTTAAACGTGTTTGGTGGGCAAAATGTGTCTACTTCATATAGCATGATTATGTAGCACCTTTTAAGTGTTAATATTTTGGTTTTTTAATTTTTATCTATTTTTGATGAGGATATTTTGGATTTCAGTAAAGATTAACAGGAATTAGAAATGTGTGCTCAGATTTTAGTTTATGAAATCCCTCTCCATCCCTCCTTCCCTCCCTCCCTCCCTACCTCCCTCACTCCCTCTCCCTCCCTTCCTTCCTTTCTTCCTTCTTTCTATCTCTTTTTTCCTTTCTTCCTCTCTTACTTTCATTAGCTCTCAGTAATATGCCTTGACTGAAATGACTTTCATCTGATTCATTATGAATTACAAACTAGGATTTAAGATTTCTTTGAATAATTGGATTAACAAGCATTAATTTTTACACAGTACTTAATTACTAGGCTCTGACATCGGTCTCTGAGTCTGGCCACACACAGGGGCAAATAAATTATTTTTAAGTCATTTTTTGATTTATGTTATGTTTAGGTGTTTTTAGTAGTTGGAAATCTGACCATCTGTGAATGTTACATTACTTCCAAATATACCTTCTCTATTCTTGTCTAAACCCAATGTAATATCTTGCTCAGTTGACTACCCAGCCCCACTTGTGTTTGTCAGCTTCCCACTACTGTACAAATATCTGAACTAAATCAATTTATGGAACAATAAAATTTATTTTGATCGACAGTTTTAGAGATTTTAGTCCATGATGGGTTGGCCCTGTTGATTTTAGGCCTGCAGCATGATGTGATATCTTATGAAATGGTAAAATAAGATCTCTCATATCATAGCCAGAAGCTATTTAAAAAAATAGGACAAAGAAGGGGATTTGGTTCCACTATCCACTGCAGGGACATACGTAGTGTCTCAAATACCACTTGTTAGGCCTCTCCTTTATAGGCTCCATTACCTCCCAATAGCAAGGAGATGCTGACTAAATCTTTGACTCATGGGCCTTTGCAGAAGTATTTAAATCTGTGACAGTGGTTTGGATTGTCAGGTTGAGTGGATTTAGAAGGAAGATTGATGAGACACACTTCTAAGTGGATCTCTGAGAGCATTTCCAGCAAGGATTCATTAAGGGGGTAAGGTCTACTCTGAAAATGTGTGGAATCATCCCATGAGCACAGAGAACAAGATGAAGGAGTAAAGTAGGAAAAAGCAGGCTCTCTCTGCTTCCTGACTCAACCAAGAAGTGTAGACCAGCTTTTACCATCCACTCCTGCATCTGTGAAAGTAGGACTTATCACATGGGGCATGTTAGCATAGTTACACCTTTTGAAACTGTAAACAAAATAAGACTTTCTTGCTTAAGTTGTTCTGTCAGGTACCTTGTTACAAGGATACAAAAGTAATACAGGGTCCAAACTATGGTGTTACCTGTTTTACTTTAACACAGTTACAATTTCAGTACCAGGAATCTCCAATATGGAATCACTGAAAAGGAAATGGTGCTTTCAACAGAAGATAAGTTAAAGAATAGACTTTCTTTGATCCTCATAGAATCATTTTCCCATTCAGTGTTAGGAAGCCATCATAAATTTGTTATTACATGGTAAAAATAGCATGAATAAGAATTAATTCAATGCAGTTTATAACCATCAACAGCAACCAAAAGATCTAGATCCCAGTAGAGTAGCTGAATGTTTCTCTAATATTAGTACTGCAACAACAGTTGTCTTTCAGGCATGCTGATATTTAATACAATGAAACATTTAAATTAAATCATATTCATTCTATTAACTAATCGTGCCTGGAAATTCTGTCTCTGTCTCTGTCTCTGTCTCTCTCTCTCTCCCTCTCCTTCACCTCTCTACCTCTCTACCACCTCTCCCTTTCCCTCTCCCACTCCCTCTCTGCTTCTTTCTTCCTCTCTTCCCAAAGCTCTTATTTTAGAGAAATAATTAGCCCAAATATTTAAAAAAGTTTGTCATCGATAAAGTATTTTGACTAAACATTTGGGATTTTCTCATTCTACTGCTGATATTTGCAGGCCAAGAATGGAAGATGGAAGACTTTCTTTAGATTACTGGGTCATAATGTACCTAGTTCAATACACAGTATAATATCCATCCAAGAATTTGTTGAAGAATGATTGGCTGGCATTCCAGTATGTGATATCTAGAGCTATCAAGGCATTGTCACTTAGAAAAGCACACCAAAGTTGTGATCATATGACATTTTAGATGGAAGTAGCAAACCACTTAGAGATTTGTGAAGATCTGAGAACCACCCTATTCCTGCCTCTTTACCCCATCAGTTCAAAAATCCTTGAAAACTGGTGGAGAATTGTCTCACTGATTAGCGAATGGATGTTATAATAGGTTGATTTTTTTTTAGTTTAATTTTTTTAAAGTTATTGTTGTTAACTTATTCAACTAATTATTATGGAATAAATGTTAACAGACATTTTATCTTTTAAAAATGCATGTATATACTATATAGAAATGTAGAACATTCATTTGGTAAACGTGTTAAGAGTGCCAACAGTGCTCTATTTTTTTTGGTGGATAATATAAAGAGATGTCTGTGATGGATGAGCTCAACTGACATACAAAACTCATTTTGACAGTATGTATAGAAAAAAATTATCTAATTTCAAATTAAATCAACCATCTCCCATAATCTTTTTGAGTTATTGGAGTCTCTCCATTTATTTCAAAGAATAGGAATAAGAAAGTTGAGGAAGTAAGATGTATTAAGTATAACTTCTTTCTGTATTAAACAAGAAGCAAACTAGAGTCAGAAGTTAGCTTGCCTACATGAATCAACCTGTATATATATATATATATACAGGTGTGTGTGTATAGGTTCATATAATGTATATGTAAATGTTTTATTATTTTATGTGTATGAGTGTATTGCCTGTATGTGTGTAAGTGTACCCATGTCTTGCAATGCCCACAGAGGTCAGAAGAGGACATCAGATCCCCTGGAACTGGAATTAGGGATGGTTGTTAGCTGCTATGTAGGTGCTGGGATTAGAACCCAGGTCCTCTACAAGAGCAGCCAGTGCTCTTAATCACTGAGCATTCTTTCTAGCCACTCAACCTGGTATTTAAACCAGAATATTTGTTACTCAAAAGGCTTTAGAAAAATACCCCATTTTCAAAATATCTAAAAAAATTAATTATAAAATTTAATATTTAACCTGAAATTATTTCAGTAGTTTGTTTTTCAAAGGACTGGATGAAGAAAATCATAGTCACTTAAATTGAATTACCGTACAATTTGAAGTATCTGGGAAATAAAAATATCCCGAGATCAAAGAATACCACATTTTCAAAACTCCAAAAATGGTAATTATCAGCCAACTGAAAAAAAAAGGCGGGGGGGATCATTTTCATAGGTGCTACAAAAAAACACTGCCTGTGAGGTGGCTACCTGAAAAAGAATGGACCAGTGCAAGAGCATGTGTAGTTATAAATCAACAGACCCAGTCCACTTCACAAAGTGAAAACTCTCATTGGCATGTTTTCTTTGATCCTACAGTTGTTATTTATTGTGATTGGAGCGATAATAGTTGTCTCGATTTTACAACCCTACATCTTCCTAGCAACTGTGCCAGTCATAGCAGCTTTTGTTTTGCTGAGAGCATACTTCCTCCAAACCTCCCAACAACTCAAACAGCTGGAATCTGAAGGTACAGTATGGAATATGCAGGCCTCTCCTGAGGGTGGGAGAGCCGCAAGAGATTTGAGTGATCCATTTCTGTTACTCAGCTTTCCAAAAATGTTTTCTTCCTTTAAAAAGTCCAATATCACATAATAATGAGTTGTGTGAATGCATGTTTATGCATGTGAGCATATGCATTTGTCATGCAGGTGTATGAGGAAGTCAGAGGTTGATGTCAGGATATCTTCCTCGGTCACTTGCCACTTTATTTTTTGAGACTGCCTGTCACTGAACCTGGATCTAGCTGCTTCAGCTAGATGACTGGCCAGAGAGCCCCTGGAATCCACCTGTCATCACCCTCAGTGCTAGGATTACAGATGTGCAACACCATGCCTGGCTACTGGCATGGATGCTGGGAACCTGATCTCAGGTCCTCATTCTTATGCAGCAAGCATTTTACCCACTGAGCTATCTCCCCAGCCAAACAATGACTTTTTGAGATGTATATAAAAGGAAATTACATTATTATAAAGTGCATATGAATTGATTTTGTCAATATTATTCTATTTTGGTTTTCAAACAAGTACATAGAGTCTTATAGTTGGTGTTCTTAATTTCTTTTTAAAAATTAATTAATTAATTTTTATTTTATGTGTATAAGTGTATTGCCTGCATGTATGTTAGTGCCTCTGTGTCACGCAATGCCTGCAGAGGACAGAATTGGGCAAGAGATCCCCTGGAACTGGAGCTACTGACAGTTGTTAGCTACCATGTGGGTGCTGTGATTCGAACCTACATCTTCTGTGAGAACAGCCAGTGCTTTTAATCACTATTCCAGCCCCCAATAATTTCTTATATCATCAAATTAAAAGTGATAATGCTGCTATTTCTAAAAGTTTCTCTGGGGTTCCAAATGATACTGGACAGAATTTGTCCCTTTGACTTACTGTCTTTAGATCTTTCCTTTATGTGCTGGTCTCCTTCTGGTGTGCCTCCAGTCTTTGAGCTCTCTGGGAAGGATATCTTCAAGAAAGAGCCTTAGTGTAGGACTTTTTCAGGGAATAAATTTCAAATGTGTTTCTTATTTGAATATTATGAGCTAAATCAAATCACACAAATTAGTAGTTAATAATCTAGAATTAACTGGGGAGGGGATGCTCAGTGTTTGCCAAGAAAGGTGAGTAGGCTATCATAATGATTCTATAATAAGTTCTCAGCCAAGACTGGCAAGTTAAAGGAAAGGTAATACATTAGAAAAGTGAGAAATCCTACCTACTCAGGGTGAAAGCTCCTCTAACTGGAGATATTTATGGTGCGATTTCTCTAATTTTTTCTTTCATAAATGGTAGTGTGAAATTATATTTTTGTATTTACAAGACTTAAATTCTTTTCTATGGGATGATTCACAGGCAGGAGTCCAATTTTCACCCACCTTGTTACAAGCTTAAAAGGACTATGGACACTTCGTGCCTTTGGACGCCAACCTTACTTTGAAACTCTGTTCCACAAAGCTCTGAATTTACATACTGCTAATTGGTTTATGTATTTGTCAACTTTGCGCTGGTTCCAAATGAGAATAGAAATGATTTTTGTCCTCTTCTTCATTGTTGTTACCTTCGTTTCTATTTTAACAACAGGTACTGTGAACTTACCATTTAGCTAAACATTTACGTCAAATCCTTGTTAATGTAAAAGTGCTATACATTTAAATAAATAAGGTTAGATTTCTTTAGATTTTGTAGCATATTAATCATTACAAATGATTTCTTTTCTTTTCTGTTTTATTACTGAATAATTTATTTGATATAAGGCTATATATAGTATTTTTCCTGGTTTCACAGTTTAAAAAATGAGATGTAGAGTAAGGTAGCAAAAATGTGATTTATAGGAAAAAAGTTTTTTTAGGTTAATGTTGACAAGAGGTTCTGGCTTCAAAATTAATAGGTTTCTTTATGAAATAACTTTTTGAATAGGGGAAAAGGAACACGTGCGTGCTCACATGCATGCATGTGCACACACACCAATTCTCCTTTCACCCTTCCTACAAACACATAGTAAAATTCTTTACGTAATTTGAATTTTGCATGAACAAAAAATAAAACAGAAGGAAAATAACTTAAGGTGCAATGCTTTTCAAATTACAAAGATTGTTAAATTGTAGGATCTTAGGGTGAAAAACACAAAGTATGTCATAATAAATAAAATATAAATCTATATTATATATTATATAAAATATTATGTATTATTTTGTATATGGGCAAAAGTTCAGAGCAAATGCCACATCAATGTCAGATCTGCAGTTTGTTTGTAAGAACAGAAACCATTGAAGAGTTATAGGTATGCCTTATACAGCTTCAGGGAAGCTGTCACCAGTGGACACCTGGAGGGACCAGAGCAAGCCTTGGAGAGTCAGGGATAGATAGCCTTCTATCTCTTGAGTCCAGCTGCTGGTATGTGTTCATTTCCTTCTATGTCTGCTTTAGCCATTTCTCTGAAGATTGATTTTCTTGATTTACCAGGATCATACCATAGGAACTTCATGTTACTTTTCCATTCTGCCTCTTGAATTAACAGTAGAGATCCCGTATTGAATAACAAAGTCCTAAGGAAGACAGAAAATAGACTCCATTTGTTCTAGGGTCCACCTGCAGATCATATAATGGCAGTTAAGACAGTTAATTTCATTTTTTGCTCTCTCCCTGCTTTATTACTGGGAAATGAGTCTATAAAAAGAAAGTAAATGGCTAGGCAAGTAAGTGAATCTACCACAGTGTAGTCATTTCAAGGTACTCACAGTGAGTACCTTTAAAATGAATTGCTTCTTTAGAGTATTGACCATTTTTAAATAAGTTGCTTGAAAGAGGATCAAATGTGACTGAATTACATGAATGAAGATGTTTTAACAATTAATTAAAACTGTGGTATCACATGCTATATATCAGAATGATTAGGGGTATGACTGAGTCCTTATTTGCCGAGGTCAAAACATCAGTAACAATCAGCATAACACAGAACCTTCTGGTCAGACCAGAAGCACAACCTAAGAGGATGTTGGAAACCCAGCTATTATCAACCCTGCTCTGCTGGTCTTATTAACTCTATTAATCATATAAAACAATATTAACTTGCAAGCATTAATTATCTTCTATAATCCCCTTGTGTGTAAAGAGACACATTTACACTAATCTATTGCATTGAATATAATAGTTTGTGCAAAACAACATAGTGTATGCCTTGTCTGCTGTAAATGTCCAATAACTGTCACATTACTTCTTGTTATGATCAAAATTTTATCTTTCTTTTTATCCTTCAGAACAGAGATATATTGGAGCCTCAGGTGTATTTTAACAATTTGAATTAAATTATTTGTTGCTAGCAAAGCAGGCATGTGCTGTCCATAGCATACTTCAGTTAGAGGACTCAAAAACATAAAACATTTCATTCAATACGGTGAATTATTCCTAACAATTTTTAAAGCCTCTGACAATATCATCATGCATTGCTAGATGTAAGAACTATCAGCTGGGAGCCTGAATTTATAGTTTATGAACACTTGTCTTAGAAATTTTTATGGCCATAATTCTGAATATTTTTTCAATTTTGTCTTTTTGGTTGTGAGCCTAAGCCTTTAACGGCTGTGCCATCTCTTCAGCTCTATTTTTGAATTTTAATTAGTGTCTCTTTTTAGTTCTAAAAACATTGACTCTAATATAACACTTTAGCCCTGTCCTTTCCAGGCACATCCATTGTTTTTTTCCTTCTTTCTTTTTACATAATGGGCAAACTTCTCTCTTTCCAAATGACTGATCTATTAATTTGATGACTGCCTGGTAACACACAAAGTCTACTTTCTTCCCTGATTAGTAGAGAAAGTCCTTCTTGCAAAGATATTAAGTGTATCTAAACCTCCTGCCCATGCTACTCAGATTATGTGTCCTCTTTTTTCTTTTTGACTCTTACTCTTTCTAGAGGAGCTCATTTCAACCCAGGGCTTTCTTTTCTGTTGTGCAATCTAGTGTTTTTTTTTTTTTTTTTTTTTTTTTTTTTTTTTTTGAGAACTATTTAAATGCGAAGTAATCATAGAAGAGACAAATAGGTCTCTACCGAATGTCAAAAATTCCTTCAGGACCTAAACAGTTTTAGAAGGGGAACTTTTTAAAAAATATTCAATCATTGTTAGATTTTTTAAAAATTGGTTGGAAACTTACTGTATGAGGGCATTTCTGTTCCTAATAGATGCTAACAGCATAAAATTGAAATTTGAATTTAATTAGATATGTAAGATAAAAGAAGTATGAATAAGGTAGTTCACAGAAGAGGGCAATAACGTTTATCCATAACTTTTTCCACATATAGGTGAAGGACAAGGATCAATTGGCATTATTCTAACTTTAGCTATGAACATCATGAATACATTGCAGTGGGCTGTAAACTCGAGCATTGATGTGGATAGTTTGGTGAGTTATTATTTTTCAATTTTATGAAAAATTTAGAAAACTCCAAAAGAATAGGTAATAACATAAAGAATAACTATATAATACCTGGTCTAAGACATAAAACACATGTATTGTAAAAAAAGAAATCGAACTAATGTTCAGTATTGATTTTGATATTCTTAAACCTTCATAGGTTCTGTATGTGCTTATTCCTTGGGGTTGTTTTATACATGTAGAATCATGGCATTTATGAATAAATTTTTCTACTTCAAAAAGGAGAAATAAAATATAACAGATAAATTTAAGGGCATTCTGCATTACACATTAAGCTGTGACCTTGATCCATTTTCCTCCTCATAAATTGTCACTTTGAAGATCTAATACAGCATTCTGTTAATTGCTTATTCATGTTGTTTGCTCAGTTTTCAGGAAGACTAGTTTGTGTTCGATTTTCCTTAAATGATAGTAGTTTATGAGTCCGAGATAAGCTGTTAGTTCTATAGATTTTAAATGTAGCCCTTGAGCCGGTGGCTTTATTTATAGCATCTTTTGATGAAAGAACACATTTGAGTTTGTTGAATATAAATTTGATAATCTTTTCCTTCATGGTTTTTTGCTTTTGGCATAATGTTTAAGAAGTTCATATGTATGCTAGCCTTTCAAATTCAGCATCCGGAAGCTTTTCATAATAATATTTTTAAAATTTCCAGTCTTAGTGATGATCAGTTTACCCCTAAGCATTTATTTACAAATTATTATTACATTTATTTATTCACATTGACATAGCATATGTATGGGGGTCAGAGGCAACTTTGGGGAGTCAGTTTTCTTTCTACCATATGTATCCTAGGAATTGAATTCAAGTTGTCAGACTTGGAAGCAAGTGGTATCTTTGCTGGCCCATCGCTGACTTGTTTTTAGTCTTTTTGAAGTACATTCATTTATTACTTCATTCCAGGAGACTCTAGAACCCTAATTTAAAATAATTGCTCCATACTTTTTATGTGAAATTTCAAAAATTCATTCAATTGTAAAATTTCTGTATTTAATTTCTCTCAAAACAAAAATCATAAAAATATCTCAAGGGAAATAACCTAAATCTTTTAATACCCTCTTCCTGTCTATGCATCTTTATAGTTCACTGAGGTATTTTAATAATCCTTTGAAATTTAATTTCCTTATATTTTTAAATTAGACTACTTCTTCTTAACATCTCCTTTCTTCTCCTTAGTAATATTTGGGGGCTTTTTAGAATTCATATAAAGACATGTAATATGTTTCTGTCGGAAATTTCAGAAGAATATTATATAAATGCTATGCTTCTATTTATTTGTTTAAATTTTTACAACTGTGACTTTATAATTTATTACCTATTTCTCTATTTTAAAAACATCTCTTCACTTTGTACACATACAGTTCCTTTTACTATATTACTTTTTGGATTAATGACATGTCCAAGCTTTCAACATTGCAGCACAATGTTGTTATCTACAAACTTTATACTCAAGATCTGTGAAATCAAGTTACTAAACAAACATTGCAATACATAAATAAAATATATCATAAAGCTTTTGAAAAGTTTACTAAGTTGTGTTGGGGTGCATTCATAGCTATATTCATCCATGTGCAGCTAGATGGGACTTATGAAGCTTGGGTGGCTCACGCCTGTATACATGACATCAAACATTTCTTCAGTATATTTCGACTCTGTGTGTCTAGTATCCACAAAAGGCACTTTAAAGCATTTCAGTTCTCCAAGTTTTTACATGGGTATACTGGACTTTGTGACCCATTCTTTGACATTGTGTCTTTCATCTTGTTATGTGAAAGGACCTTTACAAGGACCTATTGTATTATAGTACAGGCTATGAAGAGTATCAATATTTGTATTTGATTTCATTTTTTAAAAGTTATGATCTTTTGTTTGACTATCAAAATGAATATGTATTTTTTTTCATTTCACTGCCAATGAGTGCTGGTAGACTTCAGTAGGCATTTCTATACGTATTTGTTTCATTGTGCTACTGTTACCTACATTTCTGCTAAAATTATCTAATAATAAATATTCTTGTTTTATTTTCACTTCATCCTACATTGGGCATAAGAGGAGAGGAATGCTGAGCAGTGCTTCCTTCAGATTTCACATTTGTGATATTAACACCAAGTGTTAGTCACCGCCACTTGGTTTTTGTTTTTTTTTTTGTTTTGTTTTTTTTTTTTAAAGACAGGGTCTCCCTATAGCCCCAGCTAACCTGGAAGAACTTGCCATTTAGATCAGACTGACCTTAATCTCAGAGAGATCTGCCTGTCTGCCTATCTCTGCCTTCTTAGTGCTGAGAGTAAAGGCATGCACCATCACACTTGGCTTGGGTTTACCACTTCTAAAGAAAAAAGTTCAACGTGTTGTCATTTTCTTTACTGAATCTTTACCTGCTTTTAGAGTGAGTTGAGTTTAAAATGGAACAAATAGGATATTTTGTTTGACACCACTTAGTTTTAAGTGCAGGGCTACTCAGAGGGGAAAAAATATCTTTAGAGTTGGAACAACTACTTCTTTTACCCATCTGCCCCAGCTTAAACATGAACCCAGAGCCAAACTTTGACTATGAATTTATGAAAATGACAGTGTGACTCTTCTTACCTTCTACCTATGACTTAAATACAGACATCTAGCTTTCTTTAGCTTTAAACTGGTGAATGCAATATTACAATAATGCTTTAACTGCTACTTCAAGTTACATTGTATTTATGATCACGTCTGTAATACTGACACTCAAAACTATCCATTAGCCCTATTCTTATGTTTTAATAATAAATTCCTGTTTGTTCTCAAAGATAGCTCTTTCCTTCCTCCCCGCATCATCTTAGGCATTCTAGTAATTCCATTCCTTACCCTCTCAGCCAATGACCTTACTACATTCCTCATAAAAATGCATGTGTATGATCACAGAGAATTCCCTCACTGTTCTCTACTAGCTCTCCCTTCGTGAATCACACTGCTAGAGCATCTTCCAGTGGGCATGACATCTTTGACCATGAGTTACTGTAGGCCTTATTATATCTCTACTCATATGTCCCCCATAATTCCTTCTATATCCAGGCCAATAATGTACAGTTGCCTTCGTTTGTGATACCTGCCTCACTAGTAAGAGAATGCTCTCCTTTAATATCTAGCTCCAGCAAAACTTCCTGAGAGATTGCTTCTCTCTGTTATCTTCTATTCTTCCCACAATTTGCTTTATTGCATTTCCAGCTCTCACTTGAATCACAACAAATATCTTGCCAAAAGCAACATCCTTGTCTCCTGCAACTATTGCACAGTATTTACCATGGTTGAATTTTGACACCACCCACTTCACCTCATTTTCTCCTCCTCCTCCTGATCTCTTATAGGTCTTTAAACATCGCCTGTATTGGAGATCTCTTCTAACTGCATTTTCTCTAACTATTGTTACCTAGACCCATGTTTAAAAACTGTTTCTTGATAAATCATGGATTCATATGTTTAGTGTAGACATCTCTCTTGCTCTCTAAACATACCCAGCTACCATCTTGATACCTCCATGCATCTGTAAACACAGTGCTAGACTGTCTTCCAGTAGATTTGACATGTTGGGTATGAGTTCTTATATAATATATCTCCCCAGAATACACCTAGAGTCTTAGGGAACTATTAAAATGACACAAATCTTCTACTCTGTTAGTTTGTCTGGAAGGATAAATAAGTAAACAAACAAGAGTGAGCAATGGATAAATAGCTAAACGAAGAAACAAATACATAAATAAATAGAAAGAATCAGCGAGGATTCTAAAGCTGATACTTTAAGCTTACCAATATAAAACTACCTGATAACTAATCAGTTACTTGTAATTGCTCATAATTGCTTATTCATCATTGCTTCATTTGAATGAAGCCATTGACAATTCATGTGTTTTCAGGACTGTGTACCAGATAGGGGAGAACTAAGTAAATACTCTTAGCTTGTGAATGTTATCTTAGTTCCTTAGTTTTCCAAGTGAACCAGCAGATAACCATCCCAGATTCTACTAGATGACTGTCCTATTACTGTGTGTCCTTAGTAAAAGGAAGGAAGCCACAAGGATTGCATTTAGATTCTCATTAATGACGTTCCCAGAAAGTTCTTGTATGGTTGGTGCAATCCGAGATGTTTTCTATCAATACAAATTCCTACTGTTTCTCCTTTGTTCTTTCATTTCCTCTGTTTATTTTGGGTTCCAGTAAAGATCAAGCGACCAATATGAAACTTGGGAGGAGAAAGGGGAAATTTTACTTTTTTTCATGGCTGCTGATGCCTAATGCCTTCGCATTAAAAGCAGTTTCTGTTATAAGGATCTGACAAAGGAACTGATTTATCCTGTTCTTCTTTGCCTCTTTTTAATGGTCTCTTGATTGTGTCTTTTACTGTATACTTCTCATGAGTCTTTGTGGTGTATTTTCTACTTATGAACTCTGTCTGAAGATGTCTTCTCATCCAATTACAGAGAGCCTTGTATTTCATTCTAGCCCAGACACTAAATAAATGTGTGCCTTTAGACAATTCATAGCCTCTCATCACCCAGGGTCTTATTTTTCTCTTCTGTAAAATGAGACAGTTTGGTTAAGAATTTTCTCAGTTTGTGCCTGCTCTGACAGTCTCTCTTTTGGACCTCAAAATTTTAACACTTGATTAACATGTATACAGATAGGAATTATTCCTGATTTTTATGAAAACCACATATCTGCCCTATCCTGAATACTGGAGTCCACTGACTAAGTTACCTTTCAGTTACTATAGCTGATCCAAGAATTTTAACTCAATGTATTACTTACAGTCAATAAAGAAAAAGTGAACATGGCTATGACATTCTAGAGTCTTAAGTTGGTACTGAGAATCTTATGAGATCCCTCATAGATTGCTGGAGTATACAAAAATGTTTGATAAGTTTGGGAAGTTGATTAGGGCTTTGTGCCTGCTGTTTTAACTTCCTGATTTAGATTTTCTCATTTGTACAGAGAATAG